TGACTGCGTACTTGAAGCCAGCGGTAAACGAGGCAAAAAACGCGTCGCTTTCAGCCGCCCAACTTGTTTGCATTAGTTCAATTTATAGAGCATTGCGATTCTCCTTTCCTTTGGATAGAGTCCTGCCCGGCTAATAACCCTAATTGGGTATTTTATGAATGGTTTTGGTATGGCCCCAAATAAGACAGTCGAACTAATCCTCAAAAGCCGCTTGACCAAACAGATTTTCTCTTGACTATGCGACGGGGCAGATGTGAAGCAGTATAGATTGTAGTCAGACTCCCATATTTGGCCCACAAATTGAGATGCATTTCATGCTTTGGCAACAATACCAATCGAGCTGGCTGTGTTGCTTTTGTTCTTCTGTCCCCGTTTCGTATCTGTTTGCTAAATCAGCTTATGGACTATTATCCAACTTACAGCCTAACAACCCAATCAAGTCAATGTCATTGCCAGCTCAGCTCTGGTTGAGCTAATGACCGACAACGAATTAGTCACAGAAGCAGAGTGAACTTGTGTGTTGACTAATCAAAATATAAACCACTCTATTAAGATGTAAATGTGGTTTATCTTCAGATAAAATATTACCAGCTGGCTTTAGTAGATTGCTCTAATATCAGCCGTATCTACTATAATAGCAATAACAGCGTTACCTTAACATGGAGCTTATGCTCATTTTTATGCGCTCCGTAAACATTTCAATTATGGATAAATAGCTAAATAGCAAAAACTGAACATTTATATGCATAAAATATTCCTAACAACATATTGTTATCCAAATAGCAGCCATCAAGTGGCATTTAATTTATAAAATATTCTCGAAAAATAGCTGTGGCCGCAAACCACAACATGGGCATAAAGCATAATGTTAATTAGATTGCGATGCTCTATAAAACTGGCCTGACCTTTTATCGGGTGTACACATTTTGTGACCAGTTAAAATCAAATGGACTCCCAAAGACCCCCCAGACCCAGCTACAGCATTTCTTATTAGCATATAATATGGGCGCTATCGACGCTCTCTGCATATGTTATAAGAGACCATATGTGTGTAGTTTCAAGTTATCTGAGTGTCGATGATAAACAAAAAATACTTGGAAAACTAACTATAAAAACTAAACAACAGGAGTTCAGTGGCAGGAAGTCATGAAAAATGGGAAAATATGTAGCGAACGCAACAATAGACTGAGCTGTGTGTGTGTGTGTGTGTGTGTGTGTGCGTGCGTATGTGTGTGGTCAAAGGTAGTTATTGTTGTTGTTGTTGCTGGGAAGCTGGCCTGGCGCCCAGTGGCCCACTTCCGTTAACAACATTTGCTCCAATTTTGTGAATTAAGTCTTAAAGCGTAATTGAGTGAACATTTTCACTGAGGCATAAGCATGACTGTGCGCAGGTGAGTGTGTGTGTGTGTGTGTGTGTGTGTGTGTGTGTGTGTGTATGTGTACATGTATGTGTGCGTGTGTGGGTATGTGTTTCTTTGTACTGATTGTAACGGAGGTTGAGTATGGCGTAAATCAACTTAGAGCCTTAGCCCTAGTTGTCATCCAGCTAAAGAGACAGCGACGATAAAAATCGGAAGCTCTGCCATGAGCCGGAAATGTGACAGCCATTGATCGGTGTGTACGTGCGTGTACGTGTGTGTGTGTGTGTGCGTGTGACGTATTTTGTCAGCATAAATTGCAAACTTGCACAGCGAACGATTTAATATTGGCTAGGAAATAACCAAAAGTATACAAAAGAGATTTCATTTTGTGGTAAATGTGAAAAATGTTTGCCATCAAATTTGAAGCTTTTAGCTGCCAGTAAATTTGTGATGTCATAACAAAAAGATAATCAAAATTGAAAAAGGTATTTTCCTGGAAATTGCTCAAGTTTGGCACAGTTTATGAATATTTTAGATTACATTTTTGAAGGTATTAAGTAAAAATGGAAAATATGACTCGACTTTTGTGCGCTGAACCCATTGGCTAATATTCTTGGGCAGAACGTCAAGTTAAGTCGATCTAGACATGAACGTTCTTTCAACGTTTTGTAATCCTCGAAGAAAGCCTAATTGATATTAAATGCAGCTTGTGGTAAGGGTATCTCCTAGTCGGTTGCGCACGAAATAACTATAATGATATGTTTACCAACTGAGTTATATTTTGCTTTAAATGATGAATCGGCCAAGGATGCCTACAATTTGGAAAGGTACTGGCAAAGTATGGAAATGTTTTAAAAGTAACGTGAAATAATTGCATTTAGTTCGCTTTCCTTGTGGCAAGCATTGGCCCGGAGCGGAAAGAGTTGGTGGCAATGTCAGTGATAGTTGGGGGTCTGACACAGTTGCGGAACGCTTCAGTGTGCAGTGCTCCAAATAGACTTCTTATCCCCATAAGTGCTACATGCAATCGAACCATACAATATCAGCAACAGCAGTGGAAACTCAGACAGTATGAGAATTTCAATTGCAACACGCCCCGAATGCAAATGTGGCAGCAGGTCTGTATGAGAAATTCCCTAGTGTATCACTTATACACACGCCCCCACACACCCACACACACACACACACACTGACAGAGTAACGGACATGTGATGTACTCTAGTTGAGCCATAAAATTCAGATGGAAGAAACAGTTATTATCATGGCCGACTCCACGTCTAACGCCTGGGCTCTGGCTTTTGTGCAGGGCAATGTATCTTGTAGCTTGGATATCTGAGTATCTGTATCTGTGTATCTGCACATTTGCAGCTAAATCACGTACTGGGCAAATGTGCTACTAATGAGCAGAAGAGGATTCACGGCAATCGCTCCACTGATGAGCGACAGAGCCGACTAATCTCACTGATTTTACAAATGATTGTCGTCCTGTCTTGCTGTCTGCCTGTCTGTCCGTCCGTCTGTCCTATCGCTTCCACAATCGAGTACAATATAAATGTAGTACAATGAGTACAATGGGTACAACACACACACACGCGCACACACGCACACATGGCACAGCAGCAGACAAAGCACACACTCAGCCATTGAAGTCATTTAATCATTTGACACAGTCGTGCGATTTGTTTGGTCTTCTGTGTGGCTGTCAACAGTTACTAAAAATAGTCTGTCAACACCTGCTGATGCATATTTAATTGGGCGCAAATTTAGAGCTTGAGGCATAATATATAATTGGCATGTAAATGAGGCATTTGCCACTTTAAATGTGCCTTAATTCGAAATATCGACAGGCTTAAGCGTAAACTGTTTGGGAATTATAAACGAATTTGAAGAATATGTAAGAGGTAAAAGCTTACTCAAGCTAAGAATCACTTTAATTCATTTTGCAATTTATGAAAAATAATTGAACATTTATGAAATGATTTGTTTTTCGCTTTACTTATATTTAAGCAGTACTTACCTTGTGGCGATACGAAGTGTTCAATTTTGACCTCTACCAAAGATACTTAACATACAAATTGGAGCCCTAGACCCAAAAAGGCTGGCATATGATATTCTGTGGTATATTCTCGACCTTCTTAAAAGTGTTAGTTAGTTAATCTAAACTCCTTCAACTGGTCTCATTTTTACCTCGGTATCGAACGAAAGGTTAGAGAGTGCTCAAGAAGTTGGAAGAAACTGCTGGATTGAAATCCAACAAAGAAACATTTTCAAGAGTTCATTTCATGAGTATTAAGAAGAAGAAAATGTCAGCATTTTCACATATGTAATACATAGAAAGTTGTTGGGCAAATGCAAATATTCTAAGATAGAAAATGCTTTGATTTGACGTAGTCAAAAGATGAATCATATTCATTATCATGATATCACGTTTTACACCACCGTTTCGGTAATTTACAAATCACAAAGTAAATCACGTTGAAAATCTTATAATATGAGATTCAAGCAAAGTTAACGTAATTTTCTTGGATACCAGGCGAGGGACGTGGGCTGTTTTTCCCCATCGCGAATTGAGTTAAAGGGGGAGGCGGAGAAAATCTCAATTTCGTTTACCTGAAACTCATTTTCGGTGGTTGTAATTGGCATCGTTGAACGGCTCATTCATTTGCGAGCGCGCAGTTAATTTAATCAAATGATCTGCACAAAATTTGTTTAACATAATTTGATGTAAATACATGCATGTATGCATAATTAGTGTGTGCATACATCTAATGTAAGCGATATGCAATTATTTACATATATGTGTAATTATTATGGACAAGCCATCCGCGCATTGTCTAATGCATTTGCATTAATTAATGTCCACAATAACTGCATTTTGTGATTGCATCAAATTAACTTCACACCACAAAGATTCTTCCTCTTTCTCTCTCTCTCGCTCTCTCTCTATTATTCTCTCTATTTCTGGGCTGCTATTTGCCATTTGCCTCAATGAAAGTTTACACAAGGATGCGTATTTTATCATACATTTAATTTATTCATTGTTTCAATGCAAGGCCAACGTTTTAAGTTTGCATTTGCTTGCCTTACTTTGGGCGGACTTGTTTGAATTACTCGAAAAATGCCATAGAATAAACAAATCTTTTATGAGTTCCGCATTTGCAGTTTTTAAGAAATTCTAGTCAAAACTTGTACGTATCAAATGTTAGGGATCAAGTCGCAGGCACTAACTTGCGTAAATGTTAACGATATGTTAACTAATCTAAATATCATATATATTTCATATTCTTGACCTTTCTATCAAATGCTGTTTTGGCTGCCGTAAGATATAGTGCAGAGAGCTGGTTAAATTGAGTTTATATAGAGTATATGGTTTATATGAAAGGCTGTAGAATACAACTTGACTTGATAAATGCTGTCATATCGTATCAGCCATTATCTGTATATTTTTATCAATATAAATATAAATATAGAAATATGTAAAATATATGTGTATATAATGAAATTACAATACGCTCTGCAGTTAAATATAATTAATAGTATGTTAATTATTTCAATTTAAGAACAAAAGTTTAAAAATTAATACGAAATTTGTATGTATTTCAAATATCTTCTAATATATATTCAAATGGCAATACTCACATTTTTGGGCTGTTTTTGTTGTCCTTGCTGTTGAAGTATTTGCTGCGCTTTACCTAAATTATTATTATAATTTTCTTTGATTTTTGTTTCATCTGCGCGACGCGTTGTTTTTGTTGTTTAAGTTGTTTGGCTTTTGTTTTGGCTGCTGTGTTGTTGTTTTGTTGTTTTGTTGGTTTTATCTGATCTTAAGTTCTTTTTAAGTACAGCTGAGATTTGGCTGGGTCTTGACCAGACCTTCTGTCATATGTATGCTGCCTCTCTTGGGCATTTACTGTAGACTGAGCTCTTTTTTTTTTTTGGTTTTTCTTTTTCTTTTTGAATAGTCTACGGTTTTCTTTAAATTATTGTTTTAAATCTTCTGTTTTTAGTTTCGGTATTTTAAAGTTTTGTTTTAAGTTAATACAACGATGCTGAACACGAACAAGAAATGCAACAGTTGGGCTCAATTTGACGCAATTGTTGACAACAATAATTCTTCAGTATTATGGATAAGCTTTACATATATATATATATATATGTATATACAATATTCAAATGCCTTTAAGTTAAGAGATTTACAAAGTATATGTATACCTTCTTCGGTTTCTCTCTCTCTCTCTCTCGCTCTCTTGTACTTATTATTGGCTTCAGGTAAGTTTCGTTGGGCTTACTGATCGACAAGTTCTTCAGTGCTCTATACGTTTCTATATAAGTACTATATATTTTATGTATTAAGTTTTATGTTTTTGTACCTCTGGATTACTATAGTTAGGTACTACTGTAGCACTGATGGTCCGCGTTGCGGCACCAATAATTATTACAAACAACAGCAAACAACAACAAAAACCAATTAATAGACACTTATTTTTTTTTTTTTTTCGGACACCACAGCAAAAAAAATGTACAAGAAAAATTTATATTTTAAGTTATTTTGTTTTTTGTTTTTTTTTTTTTTCTTCTTCTCTTCTCTTTAAATTTTGTTTAGTTCACCCAAAAAAAAAAGTTGTAGGAACAGGAAGGAAATCGCCAAAAAACTTGTTGCACGTTACGCATGTGGCGGACACGGACTATGGGACTTGTGTGTGTGTGTGGACTTTGACTCCGGGCGGCGGGCAGCGGGTAGCGGGGGCGTCGCTCCTTCGTCGATTGTCGCTAGTCGCTAGTCGCTTGTTGCTGCTGTCGTCGTCGTCGATGTCGTTGTTGTCGGCGCTGTGGCGTGTGGCACACAACCTTTTGGCTTGGATGTTGCACAGCATCTGTTGCGTGGCACGCTGCCCGACTAACGAGCCAGCCTTGTCGAAGTCAACGTCAGCGTCGGCGTCAGCTTTGGCATCGCATTCGTTCGTTTCCTGTCCTGTTCTTGCTCTCCCTCTCTCTCCCTCTCTCTCTCTCTCTCTCTCTCTCTCTTTCACTAGCTCTAAGTCTCTACCTCCTTCTCTCTCACACTCTCTCGCTCTCTCTCGCTTTCTGTCGCTGCCGCTCTTCAATGCTGCTCGTCCTTGTTTTGGGCCTTCGTCAACAAGTGGCAACTGTGACAAGCGCTGCTGCTGTTGCTGCGGCGCGTTGTACAAATATATAACACAAGCCCCACGATGCACAGTTGACTAATCGCTGCTGTTTGTCTGCGCCTCCTTTTATAGCAGCTGCCTGCTGAAGGACACCAACAACGACGCCAGCTGCGGCAGCGCCAGCGACTGCGGCAGCGGCGTTTCAGCAACAGGCAACCAGTGCGCCCAGGTGATTCCATGCTCTTGGGATTTGGGGTTTCGCAGTGTGTATGTGCGCGACTGTGTGTCCGTGTGGATATATGAGTGTGCGGATGTCTCTATGTTGGTGTGTCTGCGTGTGTGGCAGTGGCTGCTGACGATGCTGCGGCGGCGCCGCGCAGGGGCAGCCACTGCTCAGCGTTTCGCTGAATTGTCTGCTGCTGGGGAAATGCTGGCAACGCGTGGGCGGCTTTTCTTTTGCCTTGTGCCGTACACACACACACACACACACAAAAACACTCACACAGTCAGACAGATGCGTTCCCATTAGGCCTGAGGCTAAGCGTTTGCATAGGCCTAAGGCCCAAGAAATATCTTGGATTATCTTCACATTATATTACCCCCTTTTTCCAACTCAACAACAAAATAATTAAGAATTAAAATTTATTTTTCCGTTTAGATCTAAAGGTTAGACTCGGGATACAGTTTATTTTAATTCTTATTATATTTTTATAAAAAGATGGGTTAAATGTTCTCTCACCTCATTTGACAAACCTTACTCATGTCTAACTAATCAAAAATATAATTAATTCTTGGAGTATCAACAGTTAGTTCGGCTTTTTAAGTGTATTCAGTTCCTAAGAGTGCACATACCGAATATTATAAGAACTCTTTTAACCGAAAAAGCTTTGTTTCAATTAGGATTTGGATGTTAGCTGTTACAAACTAAATTTCAAAACTCTAGCTCTAAGAGTCTTATTAGGACAATGCAAATAAAAGCATAGCTGTAAGCCTTGGGGTATCTAGGCAGAGCCGTAACCACAGCATAAGTGTAAATATATTGCAATTCGCATTAATCAAATATGCAAAAATTGAAATTTAATTAATTCTTTCTTGTGTTTTTAATTAACTTTTCATATTTGGCATATTTGTGGCGAGGCTATGTAAATCAAAGCCCAGATAGACTGCAATTCATATACAGCGGACAGCTATTGACGATGGATGCATCCAATCAGCAAACAGCAGCGGTGCCGCTCGTGCGTACACGCAATGCGAAAACCACCCAAAAACAATAATAAAAACATTTAAGCCAGCGGTGCAGTGCCTGACTACCAGATGCCCTGTACTCAGACAGTATAACTCACGCAAGCGCTGTGATTCTCCTCTCTGTAAAATGTTTTCGAGAATCGCTTTTGCAGATCCTCATCAAAATTTCAGAGCTTACGGAGAGTATTTATTCGACATTATTGACAGTAATTAGGGCAGATTCACATTATGCTTTTGGGCAAGTGACGAATGGTAAAATGTTCATGGACTGGGTTTGTCTGTTTTTGCATATGCAAGCTTGATGTCGCCAGCTGCGTCAGTCTTAAAATGGACTGCCATTACTTTTTAGACCATTTGTTAACATATTACAATTATCAAAACTAAAGCTATAACCGAACGTATGTGGATCGCAGATGCTTCATTTTGCCTGTTAAGTGCACAACTTGCACAACCTCTATATATCCCCGTTTTTTCCAATGTTTAATGGATATCAAAAACAAAACCCCTCCGACTTGTCCGTCAAATGCAATTGTGTGTCGTATGCTTTAAGTGTGGGCGGGGCTGCAACGCCCTCACATGTGGCTTACCTGTTGGACATTTGAACACTGGTCGTGACCGACGAGTCGTATGCGCAATATGCACTTTCAACAGGTTAACCTTGGGCAAGAGGCACAGCTGCCGCTGCCGCTGCCGCTGCCAGCGCCAACGACGACGCCAACGCCAAGGCCAGCAACAGTTGAGCAGCTATCTCGCTCGGACGGCAGCCCCCATGCACCGCTCGCTCACATTCAGCGCATGCTCCAGACGCCGAGGCGCCCAGCGTCTGGCGCCCAACGGGGCAGCAACTGCTTAAAGCCCATTGGCCGCTCACATTCAGCTGCCGCTGCCTTGGCGCTGCTCTGCCTGCTGCTGCTTGGGGGTGGCTATACACGAATTCCCCCCCTTACCGGCCCGCAACCCATGTCATGCTGTCCACCCAACCGTACGGAGGGGCAACATTTCGCTCAACTCTACTAATTAATTAGATATTTTCTGGCCGGCAGCTTAAGCGCGTCGCGCATTAAATGCTCAGCGCACAATCCGTGCTCGCTGCGGCACGCTAGGGATTTCCACAGCCACCGTTCCCGCAAACCCATCTCAGCGGAACTCTCTAAACATAGACAAGTGCATGGCATTTGAATAAGCTGACCAGCAGCTGTAGCTGCTTCTTCTTGATTTTTGTTTGTCCCCAAATTTAAATTGTTTTCCTATTTTGTGCCCTAATCTTCACATTAATTATACCCTGAACTAATTAAAAATGGGTAAAAAGGATATAAATGTGTGTAACAGGCAGAAGGAAGCATCTCCGACCCCATAAAGTATATACTTATATTCTTGATCAGCATCAACAGCCGAGTTGATCTAGCCCAGTTCGTCTGATTGTCCGTCGTGAGAATCTCAGAGCCGATATTTCCGATACACGAAAGCTTCCCTCGTTTCCAGGAAATCGATAAAAATCGATATCGCAATCGAATCTCGTAAGTTACAAGAGCTAGAGCCACCAAATTGAACGAAAAGCTTTTTCAATGGTATATATATAAAAAATCATACACATCACAGCTAAAAATCGAATATATAAACGAATTTAAATGGAATGGTCTTTGAGAATATGCGAATATTCTATAGCACAATAAGTTCTAGACATAAAAATTTCACACTTTAATGCTAAAGAGGCCCTGCTTTATATAGATTAATATCCAACTCTAACATGGCCAACTGCGTACAAATAGTATAAATATTTGGTAGTTATTTTCGGCAAAAAAACGCCTTTGCACAAGAGTTTTCATGCAAGCGAGCAAAGCAAGTGGCTGAGGGAAGAGAATGTGCCAAGAGGACAGACAGCACTTGGAACTGACTTTCTCTTTGGGCCCTTGCAAATAGATGCTGATTTTTGTGTTTTAGCTGTAACAATCGATAACAAAGTCCTAAGCAATAATCGGAACTCAAGCAGTTTCTCGTTTATCAACCTTGAAATTGTAAATTTACTAGAAAAACTTGAAATTGTAAATAAAGTAGCAAGTCAAAGGGAACTTCATTTGAAAAACTAATGATATATGATTCAAGATTAAAATGTTATATCCGTGACCTAGCCAAAAATATCTGATGCATGAATATTAAACAAAATAAAAGTTAACTTTATTTGCTTTAAGCTATGCTTCAATTTGCATTTCACACTTAGGTTCTTCCAACAATCGAGAATAATAAGCAGTTGAATATTTAGTAGACAGATTTAAGTATATTAAGTTTAATAGTTTCAGGATTCTGCTAACAGTTTGGTTTTTTTTTTTTTTTGCAGTTGTGAAATCCTGGTAAGCAACTATCATTCAACCAACTATTTTTATACCCTTATAACGCATCGCAGGTACAATCTCCGAATGCATAAATTATAAATATTCTAGGTCAGCATCAACAGCCGAGTATAGTCATGTTCGTCCATCTGTCTGCAGACATTCGTCTTGCTGTTGCATATGTACTATATGTCGGAATCGGCCGAATCGGACCACTATATCATAAAGCTGCCTTAGGAATTATCGATAGAGAAGCAGGTTATGGGCAACTTGTTTGTTTCTAAAGATATCCCGCCCATGTTTGGCACTTACTATTTAAACTCTGCCGATTTTGAGCCGAATCTTATGAAAAATTAATCGAACAAAGATTTTTTGTGTGGCATAATATTCGATTTTCCAAGATATTTTGAACAAACTCAGAATTTACGAGCTCCACTACTCTCACATATCATCTACATTTCCATTTACAAAGATTTAACTGTCTTTAACTGCCAAGACCAATCAGAATTATGCTTAAACATTTGCTAGAATGCAGTTCGAAGCTGAAATTCGAGCATTTTGCAATAAATATTGTGTCCAGCCACAGACCCCCAATTACTTGTCAGATCCAACATTTCACAATTGATTTGAATTTGATAGCGTTTCATAAGCTCAATTGGCGTGCTCGTGATTCCATTGGTTACCGAATCACAATCATATCTATGTGGTGCTTACATAAGTTGATCATCGATACCAATTACGACGTTAGATGGACAGCTCGCTCCATGGCGACGCGGGTTCATCAATGCATCAGGTGTTGGTATCTATTGCACACACGTGGGTGTGCATGCCCGTGTGGTGGGTGTGTATGTGTGTGTGTGTGTAACTCGAGAACGCATGCAACTAAGAGAAAAAAATAAAAAAGAAATAAGTGGGTTCCAGACCGCATTGCCCGACTAGGATATACCCTGAATGTGTAGTCCGATTTCTACGCAATCGATTCTTATCGATTTTGTGAAGAGAATTATCGAAGAGTCGAACTTTTCAATTGTGAATATAATAATATACTTATAAATAATAGTACGAACAATAAAGACTGACAAATATGTGACTTAGCGATGAATCGAAAAAGGTATTAGAAATGCTTCTGAGCCTTGCATTTGCACGGCTTCAATATACCGGCTTACAGATCTCTAATGGCTGTAGGATATAACAAGAAGTTGTATAATATGCAAGACTTCCAAGTGCGGTCGTGCGTTGCTGCGAGATGCCAGAACTCCGACCCAGAGTCCTGAAGGCGCAAGCAAAAATCCAATAGCCTGCAGCTAAAGCCTGACCCCTGACCCCGTGTACGAATGCGAATTCGAAGCACTCTGTTTGACCTGTTGCCATAGCAGAGTCACATAAAATTTAACATAATGCCCGCCACGCAGGGCAGCTTATCCGCCACGGCGGCGGGTCAGGTGCCAGGAGGCCAAAGGGCAGCGGGCTGGCAACGCCAAAAGTCATAAATTACGTTAAGTCTGAGGGGATTGGCAATGAGGTTCATGACCATGGGCGTGCCAACTGTCGCAGGCGGCCAAAACAAGCGGCTGGAACGGGAGGATGGGTTCATGTGTGCAACATTATCGCGTCGCAACTCGAAACTTTAAATGGGCCGGCAACAAAGGGGTCGAGACGCGGCACAGGGAACGGGGCGCACGGCATGCGGCATGTGGCACATCTGCACATCGCGGCACCTGCTGCTGCGGCCTTGCCTCTGTTTGGGTGGCAGCATCCGCCATTTAAGCCAATTTTCAGCGTGTTCAGCCAATTTGCGCCTGGACTGCGGCTTGCTGGCCTGCTGCTGCAGCTAATTGGCCAACTGTTGCATGCTTTTAGGCTTTGCCAATGCAGCTACAAAATCGCTATAAAATTCTATGAAATTTACCTTCTGGGCTACTTTTTGGAATCTGTTTATACAAACATGTTCCAGCCGAGTTCAGCCAACTGCCAAATACCCGTTCACAGTTTAAAAATGCCTGCCAGCCAAACCTATTTGGCTCACGTTCCCACTGGACGTCGTCAAGTTGTCTTCACACTTAACATATGCACAACATATATATATATACATATGAAAAGGTCGAAAAGGTGTGTATATGACATAGACAAACAGATACTGGCAAATAGAATACGAGACTATCCGTCATTAATTGATAATTTGGACAATTTGGACAAGTTCTAAAGAGGCCAAACAGTGTATTTATGGCATAATACAAAGTATATATAGAGTATAGATAAATTATAAATAGAAAATTTTATATGCAGATACCAATAATACATCAAGCCTGCAAAATGCCTTTTACCAAAAGTCCGCTATTGCAATTTTTTTTTTTTAATATAATTTATGTGTAAAACAAATGCAAGCCCGTGCCATATCGAATCGAGAAACAAAAAGAAATGAATTTTCGATGTCAATTTTCCAACAATTTGAGCAGAATATTTCCCATAAAGTGCTGAGCAAATTGCAGCTTGCCAGCTCCAAAAGCTGATCATCAATCATTCATTCATTCAATCAATCAGTCAGCACATATCTAACTTCTGCCATGTCTAATAGAGTCTCCATTACATAAAAATATATCGGGCACGTCAAAAAGTGTTGTAAATTCAAAAATATATTTTCTGACAGATGATTATAGAGTGCGTACAGCGCGTGTAGAAGTATATAGAGATACGTACATACATATATGATATGTGTATATGTACAATAAGGCAGGTCGCAGCCGTGGCTACAAAATAAAAAATTCGTTTTTCATTTTTTCTTTTTTGTTGCTATTGTTTTTGTAATTGTTTTCTGGTTATTGCTTTTGTAGCGATCAATTTTGATGAATGAATTCACTCGCTGCGATAGTCCGCGAGTGGGTGGATTTTGGTTGCTTGATTGAAACTGCAAATTTGATTGTGGAATTTTGGTGGTGCACGATGGTTCACACGTTGATTTATATCCGGATATTTAGAGTGCCGAGACGCGCTCAATCTCTCCAGTGGTTGGGCGTGGCGCTAATAGCGGCACGCAGGGCGCCGCGATAATCGTTACCCTGATAACGGACATGCTCCAGCATACGTCCCTCGCTATCATAGACATAGAGGGAGCGACCGCTGCCCTTGACACCTGCGTCGCCCTCCTTGGTGGCAGCCGCCACCTCGGCAACGACAGACTGCTCCGTCTTGTCACCACTTATCCGGGGCAGCATCCATTGCACTGGATCCCTATTGCCGCCGACGATAGTCAGCTCCGGGAAACGGCACTCACTTGGTACGTAGATATTGATGCGCGCCCGAGTTCCGGCCATTGTCGTGATGTGTGCCCAAAGACTTTTCGGTTTGTGCCCTGTTCCGACCAAGTTCGGCTGCAGCTATAATTTTCGATTTTACTTTTATTGAATTGGGAATATTGGAATTTTAGACAAACGACAGTGATACATCAAAAATTGTGCATTGTATTACAAAAGAACTGACTGCGCAAGCAATGTTAACTTTGTTCCTATGATATCAGTTCACAGTTCTGTATTCTGACGGAAAATAAATTTGCTTTTAAATACAAAACTTTTACAAGTGAAGAAGGACAGCGTTTTAACGAAAAATAAGTGTTGCTAACAAGCATGTTAAATGTGCTGTTGCAACCGCAAGCAAAATGTATTTAAATATATTTTAATATTCATTTATATATTATATATATATATATATATATATATATATATATATATATATATATATATACCATATTTATTACCACTAAAACGGGTAACAACTATTTGGTAAGTTTTCTAGCAAACACTTGGAAAGTGTATTTTATTCAAATTAATGGAAAGCATATGTGAGCTGACGAACAGGGTCATTTCTAAACTAGTATTGAAAAATATTACATGTAATTTTGATATCCATAAAGTGAAAATGTTTTATTTTCGAAAAAGTCATCGTAGTTAAATGAAGTATTATCTAGGCTTGTACAGTTACTTAAAAACCCTAAGCTTTAGTTAAAATATAGGCATAATATAAGTGTTGGTAAGCGATTGTATTAAAATGCATGGGTGAAATCCGCCAGATTTAAAGTGAAATTGTAATGAGATTCCATACAATTGATATTGATATAATGCGATTTATGGCTCACCAATTGAATATAGTAGTTGGAAAAAGTTAAAAGCTCTTGACAACGATTCAATGCTAGAATGTTATTTAATTTTGATTTCAATTGCATGCAGGGGGTGGGCTGTTGAACATTGCTTTATTGACTTGTGGTTAGGCAGGTATTCTTTCGGATTCTGGTCAAACTGTTGCTTTCTTTACACACACAAACAAACACACACACAAGGACACACAGCCCGGCAAGGTCTCTGGACATTTGACTAGACTTTTGTGTACTTAACATTTCATGGTCTGTGATGCGGTTAGCAGCTTTTCCGTTTTCTTTGCGTGGCTAAGGGCTCAATCATAAGTTTCATGATGCGAAGCCGTAGATTACAAACGCTACACTCTGCATCAAAACCGAGGGCTCTTTAGTAAGCTTATCACTGTGCCACCAAAGGCTGCAGCTGCCACACCCTGACACCCGTCGAAGCTGTGCGGATAAAACACCTACACACAAATAAGAATCTTCTTAACGACTGTTCTGCAATTCTAGGGAAACGTACTTGTTTTCTCATAAGTCCTTTCCTTGAAGAACTGTGCTGGCGGGCGCTCTGGCTCAGAGTTGCTTCTGGAATGCCAAACATCTAATGCCAAGCCCCCCGCCCCCTCTTGCTTTCCTTTGGGTCAGGTGGAATGTGTAAACCAAACTACTTTTCTATTTGTCACATTAACTGATGAATTGAGAGTTGCTGCCGACTATCGATTTCATCGACATCAAACGTTTTGCAACACTACGATATGCAATCATGTAAAAACTTACTGGACAGCTCTCGTAGTTGGTAACACTGGTACAAAAATACGTATATGCGGCGCAGTTTGTCAAATGTGAGGCAAGTCTAGTCGATTTCTGGGCGTTGCTGTAGGCTACTTTTGTGGTTAGCAAATTGAAAATTCCATGTGGTTGATTTACCTTTGCAGCAGCGCGTCGGTGGGTAGGTGGTTAGGTGGGAGGTGCGGTAGCGTTGTTTGCAGTCATACTGAAAATTATTGATTCGGCTGGCTTTGTCAATTTACTTTAAAATAATTGAGCTGCCAATACATATTAATATAATGTTTATGCATAATATATTTAGATTTTTTTTCTATTTGCTATTTGATTTGATTATTTACTTTTGTACATTTATTAAAATTCATCAACAGCTAATTGCAATGCATTTATTGCGCTTACAACGTTTGGCTTCTGTCGAATTTATTCCTATAGTTACTGACGTTAATTAATAGCACATTTCCCATAATTATCCACAATCAACATCTGCTGCAGCTGATATTGGATACCAGTTAATTTGAATTTGTCGAGGCAAACGCAAATACAAATGCTGCACAACATCTTTTTGTCAGAATCGCCATTAACTCTTACCTTGGAAATCAATGCTCGTTTGTAATATGATTAGGTGTTTGTTTAAAATTGTATACCCTGCAGCACAAAAGTTGTAGAACAAGCTGGGGTATTGAGCTGTGTAATGAACAAACCTAAAACGGCTTCGAAACTTTCATTTGCATTAAATAGCTTACGAAATCAAGATTATGCGCTTCAAATATAGTATTTGGGTATATTGTCTGAATAAACGTGTGTCTTCTTCTCAGCGTAGAAAAAAAAAATTGCTCCAATCACAGCCAAAGAAGTCTCCGATCACATAAAAGAGCTCCTGGCCAAGAGGGGATAGACAACATTGTGTTTATCCATCTTCAATTGTAGCAGTAAATTTAAAAAAAAAGAAAACAATATTAATAAAAAAAAATATGCTTTATTATTACGTTTGAATACCAATTTTTTTGTTGTTTACATTTTGCGCCACGGCTCATCGTTGCAGCCAGCTATTCTCCCAAAGTTGTGCCTTCCACCAGGCACCAATTCTGCACAATTGTTAAGACAATGGGCTGGCTAATTTTTATAGGACTCGCCAAGCGAATGCTGAAAATGTCAGAAAAAAAGGGTTTAAATAAATATGCGCGATGGAAATTCACGTTGCAATTAATGTGGGAATGGGTATATTGGATTTATGCCTCATATACGACAAGGCGAACCTCTGTTCACATACCATTTTGTTGGACGCATTCGTTTGAGTTCGTGACTCGATACATACCCATGTATATTTGGACAGAATTTGCTGTTGAAGCTCTGGACTCACAGACCTGACTTTGCTCACAACTGGATTAATTATTTAAAATATATATTTTAATTTGCAGGGTATGTCAGCTGCTGGCATGCCAATATTGCAAATGTTTGTCTGTCAACAATCAACGACTGTTTGTGCACTTTCGGCTGCAGGTCAATTAAAATGCAACTTTGAAATGCGGCTCCAACTTGTACATGAACGGGCATTTCTATGGCAGCAGTAAATAAGAGACTGATTCCAAAATTCCGACATGCACAGCCTGCTGCACAGCGTGGGCGTGTGCTTTTGATTAATTAAATGGAGACAGTTCGAATGGACTCGCTGATTGCAAGTGCATCTGATTAATCCATTCGGCACATACTCGTATTTCTTGGTCCGAATTCAAAAACAATGTGTCTCAGAGCAGCATGGTGCGTGCACATCTACAAAATACGCTGCACTCGAGGTCCTTCTGCTTGCTCGCGCAAAAAAACCCCGAGAACCGAGCCGGCAATAGAACATGCAGGGCAAAATAACTTTCGCCAGGTGGTACAGCTGAGATAACTATCAATTAATCATCAACATAGTTAACTTGTGTTAGCTTTCAACTCTAGCAGAAGCCCGCTTTTTTTTTTTTTTTTGCTATACTCTCAATATAGTTTTATTTCTCCACAAATTGTAAGGGGATTCGATTTACACTTTTCTGCATTTGTCGATAGCTTTGGTATAAAATGAGGACTCGCATATAGCATGCACTAAAGACAAGGCGTAATGCTGCACTTTGACAGGGCGGATGCAGTGACAATTTGCGGCCAATAATTAAATATCGATGCGCAAATTGAATTTGCCCACAGCGGAGCGAATATCAACAACCGCCAACAACTTTGCGGGCAATGCGCATATGTGTTTCGTCCTGTAATTGACAAAAAAACAAAACAAAATCATGCCATAACTTTCACAGTGCATTTGGCCTGCGCTTTTCTTTTGGCGAAATTATGACATTTTAAAGCGACACAACTTCGCGATTCTACAAACGACAATTTGCTTTTTACTCATTTTCCATTTTTGTTGTCATGAGAAGCTCTTGCGATCCCAATAAGTAGAAAGGTCACTCCGTTTTTTACCCAACCGATGAGTATCGATTTTCGACTGAGTTCTCTGATCAGTTGGAACAACAACTTGACCAGGGTTCAGGGCATCTATTAGTTGGGCACTAAATGCATTTTCCGACTCGCTTAGTAGAGTAATACGAATGAAGATGCATTCACAAATGAGCTCAGAGTCTCGAACTGTAATAAGTTAGTGTATTTAAACAATCAAAGTGTGCTTCTCTTGTATACGTTGTGTTCTCTATTAATATCGAAACAGCTGGATATCAGACAAATGGGCAAATGCCTATTGCCCTTAGCCGGGCTGCTGCTGCTGCTCCTTCACCCCCAACAAACCGTATCCCAACCTACCGCTTAACACCTGTATATGCTGCATTACAGCTCCTTCATTTTCATTTACATCATGCTGCTGGAATCTGGGCAGCCCGAAGTGCACTTTAAATTGAACGTGTCTATTTTATATTGGACCTGAATGCTTGGCTGGCCAATGCGAAATTCTCTGCTGACACTTTAATAAAAATGCATTTCGATATTAATTAAGGCCGTAAATGAAACCCAATTAGCGTACAAGGAACACAGAAATCCAACCCTTATTTAGGCACAAAACTATGAATATGATATATTCGTGCTCTTTTACAAATATTCAACAAACACACGAGTTAATTATCCGTCTTTGCGTATGTATGAAGCTGTCGAGCTCACAGTGAGCTATGTAGGGAGAGTGTGAGAGACACACAACTTTGAAACCTAAAGACATTCATATTTGGATTTAAGGTGCGTCTAAAGCACTCGCAGCTTAAGTTTATATATATATGTATACCATGAAATCGATAAGTATCTATATTAAAAGTAAAACATTTTCGGAACTACAGCTTTGAACAGCTTCGAAGTGCGAAGGGTATCTCCTCCCCGCCAACTCTCATTTGTCTTCTCCATTATTATTTTAAAGCTTAAAGAAATATGTTAAGCTTATTTTTAAAAAATTGCCTCAATCAAAGGCCCGAGCTGCAGTTAGAATCAATTGGAGTTCTGGGCTCTGACAGATTTTAATTCAAACTTGCTTGCAGCTAATGTTATTAAGCCCTTGAGCACTCAGTTGCCTACATACTAATAACTGCTCCTGGGCAGTTGGTTACCTACCTCATACCTAATAATGGTGCCCACTTTCATGTGCGACTTATGTCGTTAATCGACAGCTCAAGCAAACTGCGGCAAATACTAGCTCAACATGCTCAAGAAACCACAGGAACCACAACATTCAGTAGAACTCTGGGAGCGCAAGGGCGGATCAACTGTGTCTGTGCATTGACCACAATGATGTCCCAAATGCGGTTAAAAGCCTCAATTCTGTCCCATTTGCTTGAAATGGATTAATTAATATTTGATAATCAAATCAGGTGACCATTTAAGTGGCAATCGGAGCAATTAGAGCCGCTTCTAATCTATGAAATAGTTTATTAATGATGCACAGCTGAGTCCTGAATATGAATTTAAAGTTTCATCTAATTCGACTTGACTTTAATTTTAAAGACAGGCTCTTTTTATTAGACTTGTAACGGTTTTTATAATCATGTAATGAAAAGTATAATCACAAATCATATGGCACCACATATAGCCTGGACAGCTAGAGTAAACGAATGGCACCACGCATTTTTATGATTTCTGGTCCAAAGTCGAGTTCGTTTTTGGTTCGGGTCCGAGGCTTGCACTTGTTCAGAAAGCAAGAGAATAAGAAATCCGTATGATTTTTGGTGTTTTTCTCGGCAAAATACTTTTTTTTTAATGATATACCATTACCATTTTGGACCCGTAAGGATCAGTACTATCGATTGGCATTAAAAAAATGAAAATCTAATTTTTACCCAAATTGACCAGAAAGCACATTTTTTCTCAAAATCGGTTTCGTACGAACTAGAAGACAGGCTTCACTTATGCTCACGCATTTCAGCAAACCCTTTTCAAATGGGTGTGATATATATGGCTGCCATAAGATCGATCGGTCGGATAAAGTCATTGGAGCCATTCGGTTCTTCTTGTTTAAATAGAAGCAAATATTTTAAAAGTTTTGAAGTTCCCTGACTTGGCACAGTTATCAGCTCAGATATCAGACGGCTGTAGAAATGTCGCTTTAAACAATTGCAACAATTGTGAACATTAAAAGAAACATGGGCATTAAATTATAGGTAAATGTGAGCGCACTTACTTTCTGGGTTGTTTATTTATTTAAGTTCGCATTGTGCTGGTGCAGCAAGTCCAAAGCCAGAGGCAAAGAGCATCTCTCTTTGCCAACTGCATAAAAAGGTGTGCAAACGAGTGACATGAGTTTTATGACAACAACAACAACAACATTGGCAACAAAAACAAACACAACTACAACAACTATAACATCAACAACAACAATAACAACAACAATAAAGCCGACCAAGAGAAATAAAATAAAAATAAATAAATTATAGCTTCAGCTCGTTGTTGAGCCCATTCTTGTTGCTGTTGTTGTGGTTGTTGTTGTTGTTGTTGTTGTTATTATTGTTGGTATTATTGTTATTGTTGTTGCTGTTGCCGTTGTCGTTGTCACTGGTTGAAGTCAACATATTGTGGCATTTTAAGCGGAAAATATGCCTTACTTCCGGCTTTCCTTTCACCGTTATTATTGTTGTTCCCGCAATACCCTAAAAATTCATAAGTTGAGTGGTTTATTTTCCACTTCAGTAGATGCTTCTCAAATGCAATAGTCAAGTTGAACCTTGCCTTTGTAAACCTTAGAGCACAGTCACTCTGAGGCGCAAAGTATTTGAATTGCATTCGCCCACAGCACATAGGGTATATGTATTACAACTTTGGGAAAACATGTTTGATAAGTTTCAAGAACACGTTAATTCCTAATTTAGATTTGCACAAAATCGTTGTATAGATTATTTGTATTATTATTTGTAACTCTGTAGCTGTGCATGTTCCTGTCGATTTTTATCGGAGATTATTGTTGTTCTAATAGGGACAGATGTCGTACTATCCATGGATTTTAAATACATGTATTCCCCCCCATGTATGCCCCGTATATGCTGATGTGATTCGTGAGCCCTGGTATTCTATAGAGTATCTTTAAGTCGAGCATATGCATCTGACGCTCTGCTACTTGTTGTCGGCGCTTTTATTATTGTCGTCCTTGCGACGCATATGGGTGTGGTAGGCACTACTCACACATACACACACAAGTACACACGAATACACACATATATACACACACTCGCACTTGCTGCGGACTGTTGACTTGTTTACCGTTATGAGAACAGCGCCAAGATGGCTGGCAAAGTATCTGCCAAACAGGAAGTCGCTGGTAATTGTGTGTGTGTGTGTGTGCGTGCGTGTGTGTATTGTGTGTGGCTTCTAATAACTGTTATATTATTTATATGCACATATGTACATTATAATGTCTGCTGTCGCTGCCTGCCAGACAGACATGTGCCCCGAATATGACCAAATAAAATTTAACTTATAAATGTATATATTACGTATACGTCGTGTGGATCTGCCAGAAAGGTCAGCAGGTCGCTAAAGCACTCTACTTTAAGATCTCAACTCAAAATATGCTTGTTTTGTGCAATCGAGCAATTCGGCCATGGCCACAACCAGCTTAAAGTATTCCTAGTTATGTTTTGGTCTACATTTGATATGGGAACAGGTTTTGCGATACAATTCGCCAGACTGTAAAAAGAGCCTGGTCCGACAGGCAAAAAAAATACTTCCAACCTGTCGTATTTGAAATTGTTATATTCTGATTAAGCCCTCAGTCTTCAATTTTTCGTTACATATGTATGTGTAATCGTAAAAAAATAAAAATGTTTCTAAATTTAGTTTGTGAAGCAAGTGTGAAATACAAAGCATACTGCCAACGAAGTTGCTGACTCCCTGCTGGAAAATGTGGAAACTTGTTAAACTCAATTATATTGCCTTGCAACTAGCTTCACAAATAAAAATATATGTTTAAATATAATATGTTATATGAAAAGCGCGCTTTCAAAGATGTGCATGAAACGTCTACAGGGTCTGCTAGTCAAATTATTGTAACACTTCAAAAAACTTGTGATTTCCAGGCTAGGTAGATTTCAATACGCTCTTTGGAAATGTAGCCTAAAATAGGAAATCGGATATTCTTTAATTGCTTTCCGTGAAAAATCTAGCCAATAGCCGTATTAGAAACATTTGAATATTGTATTGGCAAGTTAGAGTTAGAGAAGGAGAGAAGAAGCTCAAAGATGCAAGTGGAATTCCAGTATACCTATCTCTCTATAGCTTATGACTGAAACCGCCTAATCAAAAGCACGTTGTCATCCATAAAATAAAATGAAGCACACTGTTGCAACACGTGTTGCTTCATTTGCGACAAGGTAAAATACTGCGGGCTACGAGCTACGAACTGTGAATTGCGAGCTGCCTAAAAGCAGTTTAGTTTTATTTGCCAAAAGGTTGAATCTTTAATTGCACTTTGCACCAATACCAAGAGCTGGGGGCAAAGGGATTTGCGTTAAGTTCGGAAAAGCAGTTGTGCTGCCTTGAATCACTATTATTGTAAGCCAGGCCCAGGTCTAGGCCCAGCACAATTGCAAGGACAAGGACATGCGACAAATAACAACAGCCACAGCAGCAGCACCACCAGAAGCAGCAGCAGCACTAATCGGAGTAAGTGAAATGGAATCCTTTGGCAAACATTGGGCCATTATTAACATTTACCACAATCGGAACAACACTACAGGAGGCGACGCAACATGCACTACAGAAAACTAACAAGACCAACGATAAAAGTTTCACCAGGCAGACAGCAAAACAAAGAATACAATAGCTAACTACGACAGGCCGTATGTTAAACACCCTTTAAAAGTATGCTCAATAAAATTGAGATATTTAAAGGCTTTTCCTCAAGTGAAAATCACAACTATTTTCTATATGAAAATTCTGGGTATTGAGCCAGATTCTGATGTGAAAAATAAGTTGCTCAAGACGCAGGTCACATAGTGAAGCTTAATGGAATATAAAGAAGTTGAAGAACTCCATATTCTATCGTTTCAAAAGCAGCTATATGATATAGTGCTGCGATACGAGCTCGGGTATATCGGTTTGGCTGTTGATACTGAACAAGAATATATATGCATTATAAAGTTAGCGATGTTTGCTGCTATCCGTGACACACTACATAAGACAACTATAATACCCTCTCGTACTAAAACAAAAAGAAGTTCCAGGTCCAAGTCCAAAGTCTGAACCGAGTAAAAGTTTTCGTGTGAAATAAGAATTGGTATTAAAAGCATAATAAACGCAACGGCAGCGGGGGGCTAGCTAGCTTGACAAATGAATAAAAGAGGGACAGGAGCGTGTGGGTGGCAGCAGGCCAATAACTTAGGGCTAAATGATTTGTGTACGCACAGCCCTACTCATTTGCAAATAGATAACTTTAAGAAACTTTGGACCAACTGATATAAAAACCAAAACCATATATGCAGAGTCCTGAAACGAGTCCAAAAAGACAAACGACTCATCCTATTTACATAGAAGACTAATACAGCTCTCAAGAGTGGCCGTAATTAAGACCGTTTGGGAAGGGGCTTACTTGAAAGAAAACTGGAGAATGCGGTGGGAGCAGAACATGGGTTTAAATGATTTAAGGGCTCTGATTATACCTAGACAAGGGAGTGAGAGATACACATACATATAAGTATATATATTTAAGGTGAAATGTAAATAAATTTATATTTTATGTATACTGTGTTCGAAACGAAAAATGAGTATATTAGCTTTTATTATTATTATTACACATCTTTAAAGCTAGAGTTCCCAAAATTAGCAGAAACATGACGAATGACTCTCTCTAAGGAACAATCAATATATCTTGCGGCACTTTAATCACTGAAATTACACTCTTTAAGTTGCCTTATATTGGAAAATATTACCAGACTAAATAGCGTGTTACCTAAGTAACTTTTAAGGAACCACCGAAGAACTATCGAAGTACTACTTAAAGTGTAATCACCTGACCACAAGAAGCCAGATGCTATAGTGCTCGGGCTCTGAGTAAATCTTGAATATACGTACGCCCAGCTTGGTAAAATATGAGTAAAAAAAAAACAGATAGAGCTGTTAAAAACGATTTTTGTCACTATATCAAATATGACAGATGTGGCCTATATACCTTACATATAAGCAAAAAACTACCGAAGGCTTTCGGTTATTTTGCCCAAGCTTCTTGTTAAATAATCTAAAGCAATAGTAGAGCTTAGAATAGGTCCATTGCCGCCTAACTTTATGGGAATATAGAGACTAAATATAGTTTTCTGTTTTTTGTCATATTTCCGCTCGGAATTTGCTTGAAATTTATTCATCAGTTATCAGATACAATTTAAATACGATATGTAAAAAGGTGGAACTCGCACCGCAGGCTCTGTCGACACATACAATTTGAATTTGGGCAACAACTCAAGAAAAAGAACAAAAACGGGCTTATTAATAAAATGTGATAATAAAAATTAGTTATATTTTCAATCGAACATTGGACTACATACTATATACGATGTACGAATTTAATATACTTTTGCTTATCTATAAAGATTGGGCTTGGCCAAACCGATTTGAGCCCGAGAAGTCAAGTTATGTTATGCAAAACGAGTTTAAAGAAAAAATAAAGTTTTGTTTAAAATAAAGATATGTTAAGGGAGACCCAGATTTCAAATATAAATAAAATAATACATTATAAAAAATAATAATACGAATGATAATATAAAATAATATTACAAAATATTCTAACCATATTTTGTAGATGCCAATTTTGGCATCTTTTATATGAAAATTAAACTCATGAAAATATACTTAGTTAGCTTGTGTAAAATGTGCAACATTTAACAAAAAAGGAGTATTGGGAATGATAGAGGAAAATAGTTGAGAGCATTGAGACCAATGATACAATCCTGATTGTTCTTCCCGAGCTTAGCGGTTCGTTTGCAAGCGTGTATCCTCAAGAAGCCAATTGGCAGAATGAGATTCTAGTTACATTTTTATCAGCTGTCAAAAACTGTTAACACGTTTGCTATAGCTAAGCTCAAGGCAGTTTTTGTCAAATTTTAGTGTGTGTATATGTAGAAGTATTTATTGAACAACAATATATATATATAAATATTCGGTTCTCAAGAGCACGAGTGTGTAAAAAACCGCGACAAGTTGTGTGAAACGGTTATATATAACTATATATACATATATCCACTATATTCATATATATATATATATATATATATATATATGTATATATAATTTTTATATATAAATATATATATATATATATATATATATTTACGAGTGATTTATTCAGAAGCGAATCTTTGAAATAATGGTCGCCGACACGGATCCAAAGATCTTCAGATTGTCGCAGAGCAAACCGTTGCTTATGATGATGCTGATGCAGTCGCTGGAGGAACAGGTGCAGGCCGATGAGGACATGGACTCGAATGTGCCGACTGTTACCATGCCGCCTGCCGATCTGGACATAGTGGATCCACTCTCTCAAGGGCAAATTGAGACGACCATCGAGATAATGGAGATCACCGACGAATGCGACGACCTCAACACAATGGAAGTGGCCGAGGAATGTCACGTCGATGAATATCACGAAGACGATTCAATGATGATGGAAGGCGATCACAACAACACCAGCTACAAGTGTCATGACTAAGACCATGATTGCCAGTGGGGGGATTGGGATTGGGGGAGTTTACGAACGCATCAATTCCAGCAACGTTTCTTAGTCAGGCATTTAGAATTTAGAATTAAGAATTTATAATTGAGAATTTACAACATTAAAATGTCCATTAAGCATACTCTGCGACACGCGTTCCAATGCTAAAACTTGAAACGGAACACTCGGATCTGGCCGCTCTGCTGGGTATAGGCACCACCACTGATGGATGCCCCTGGCACTGCACCAGCGCATGATGCCGTCGGGCGCCGGTATTGCTGTCCAGCAGTCTTTGGAATTGGCCAGAATGTATGCGTAGATCATATTGAAGAAGTTCTCAATTCGAAACAGCAACGGCAACTCTGGAAATGTGATTAAAAGTGAGGTTATGCTGCAAGCAGTGTCCATTGATGCACAGCAGTGCTTACCGTGTTCCGTCATTTTGCACTGCTTGTCCATGTCTAATTGCGGGCCTTGATCGAGAGCTATACTTGAAAATGGTGGTTGATGGGATGAGGGGGGTTTACTGAATCTGAAACACTACTGAGTACTGCCCAAATAGAGGATCCAGCCTACATAGCCCTTTCGTAATTCTCAAGGCACGCTGCGGCAATCGCTTTGCAGCTGTCAGCCAATAAAGCCCTTCAAACATGACAGCATCTTTTATATATTATCGTTTATCTTTTATATATTATCGTTTATTCTTTATCGGGCTACTGCATCTGTAGCAATATTGTGGAACAACAGCCCAACGAGTAGCGTCAACTCTTAGAGCTGTGAAAAGTTTAAAGCATATTGGACCTTAGCCCAATCTCGATTCACCCCCAACAGAGTAATCTGCATATGTGTTCGTGGGTCTGCGGTTGTGTACGTGTGCGGAACAATAGATAGAATTTATAAAACTATTGCAAACAAAGGAACGCACCATAGCTGTGGAGCCCGAGTGCTTAAAGTTGGCAAATATTGTTTTCAGCTACGAAATAAAAGAGTGTTTTACAAGCTTTTCCATGTGGCATGCCACATTGTTTGTGCCACACTCAACGCACACCGCAAGAACTTTATAATTAAAAATAAATAAAATTTAATAATTCATTTGGGAAAAAAAAAGAATTAGTGTGAAATGTATACAGAGTAAAGTGTATGCGCTTTAAACTTCTTATGGCACAGTACGTCTATGAAACGTTACCTTTTCTAGCGTCTAGGATTTGGTGTAGATAAGCCAAAGATTAAATAAATTTCTTTGCATAGCGTAGAATAAATGGTATTATTATTATTATTGCGTACAATTTGTTTTGATTTATCATAGACTGACATTATTAACTACATATATTCAATTCGACCATTAAATAAGTTGTCAATTTTAATTGCTAACATCAGTTAATATTAAAAAATAATTGGGGGATTATATTTGGTTCGCGAATCTGGCCTTCCACAGCGTACAATCCAGACAAATATAAGACATACTATGGCCAAGTATGTTTAAAAAGTTTATCAAACAATTCGATTTTTAATTTACAATTGCCCGATCCTCTGCACATTTAGCAAACTGTATCTGTATATATTCACTAACAAGATGCGCAGTGAGCTTTGTTTTTACCCAACCTTTTCTTATATTTTGCGCCCCTATTCTAAATGAAAAATAAATATTAAAACTGGCTATGAGAATAAAAATTAAAATTGGGTATAAGGGTATATTGTATTTGTGCAAAATACAAATGTATGTAACAGGCAGAAGGAAGCATCTCCGACCCCATAAAGTAAATATATTCTTGATCAGCATCAATAGCCGAGTCGATCTAGCCATGTCCGTCTGTCTGTCCGTCCGTCCGTCCGTATGTATGAACGCAAGGATCTCAGAACATATAAGAGCTATAGACTTGAAATGTTAGATGTAGGTGCTCATAGTGCCTGCGCAGATCGAGATTGTTTCCGATAATCGATTACTTACTCCGTTTCCAAGCAATCGATAAAAATCGATATCGATATCTTGTTTCTGGGAAATTTTTGTAAATAATAAGAGCTAGAGTCACCAAACTTGACAAATACTTAGCTTCTTAAATAGAATATATATGCATTTGATGTTGGAAGAAGAGGGTTCAGGGTATCCACTAGTCGGGAGCTCCCGACTAGAACCTCTTACTTGTTATTAATATTATTGTTCTTATAATTATCATCATAGTTCTTATAAATATTATTTTTATAATATTATTATTTCTATAATTTTTATCATGAATTTTCGATTTTGGAATAACTTGGTCATCGGCTTCGAAATTAAGCTTGCGCCCATTTTGTCTAGCAATCACATTTTCATTTACAGAATACGTATTATTTGTTTGAGTAATAAATTTCATATTTAAGCGGCTAGTGCATTCTATTTAAAATGTATCTCTTGTTCACTTCCCAGAATGCCAAATGATAAACTAAACAAAAACTTTGCGACAGCTTAAAATCACAGAAAATTGTTTGCTCTTCGTTAGCATCAATTGAAATGGACTTCAATGGAAATATTGTATTTTAATTCGTTTCGACGGAAATGGTTGTGACACTGCAATTTCTCAGTAACTGCACACACACGCACACACACACATATATATATAGATATATAAAACCAATTGCTTATTAAACACAAACTACATTATGCTCCACAAGCCCTACTGAGCTCCAATTGGATGTTGTGTGCAGAAAAAATAAAATCCAATTATTTTATTATTTCAGAATAGTTCAGCTGAAAATAATTACAAATTACACACTGATCAAAGGGTATGTCATTACAATCAATTAACTAACTTGAGTTGACATTTGAAAAGTTTTCCCACTGAATGGTCATCAATAGAGCTGGAGTTTTCTTTAGCTTTATATATTATACATATTTTATTCTTTATCGAGACATTAGTTCGGACGCTAGGCAAAGCCTAGAACAAACAATATTTAAATTTGAAGATAATGCATAGATATATAGACATGTTAAGAGATCGATGTGATCTGGCTATACATATATGGAGCATTTTCTCAATAGGATTTTAATGCTCTATTGGGTAGCTCTGTCTATCTCTTTGTGTGTGTGTTTGATGATGCAGAACGACAGCAAAGTAAAGATTGAAAGCACAAAAAATAAATAAACAAACTGCAAAAATGTGACACATTCATCATACGATGTAATGTGTTGCGACGGACAATAACATACACCAACTCCAAAGCTGCCCACTGGCCACTGGCCACTGCCCACTGGCCACTGCCCACTCACTCTGGCTGCCCTGGGCAAGTATTTCATACGCCCACTGCAAACCGCATTTTGTTAAGTCCAAACTGGAGAAACGGACACGGACATGGTCGCGGACCCGGCAGAGCTGTGCGTTGCCCAAGTGTATGGCGGTCATGTGGTGTAGTCTGTTGGCAATGTTCACTAGGTAGACTAAATCGGTGTGATGGGGATGTGTCCAGGCGTTGGTGTGTGTGTGTGTGTCTAGGAGGTTGTGTGTTTGGGACGCAGTTTGAAAACTATGCGAAAGGCACAAAAAGGTCAGTAAATTAATGTGCAGAAGCGGACTCTGGATAAACTTTGCATACGCACACATGCGTATGTGTGGGTAAGTGTGTGCATGCGTGTGTATGTGTGTACATGCGTGTGCATGTGTGTGTGTGTGCGGTGGGCATTTGAAGCGTGCGTTGACTGGTGCTAAAAGGCGCCTGTTCGTTGCTTGAGTTTAACACACAGCGACACACACAGCGACACACACAACGACGCACGCACTAGCAGATTAATAAACGAGTTTTCATTTAGCCAGACAACAGTTAGCCAGATAACAACAACATGGCATAGCAACAACAACAGGAATAACATTTGCAACAACAGCTTACAACAATCTGCGGCCATGTTTCAGCCTCTTGTCAAAGGCTTCTCAGCAGCTTTTGCCACATTTAATTTTCAATTTTTCATTTATGCCTTTCCACACACATCGAATATGGCAGCATATGCCAACTGCCCACACCGCTCTTCCGACCCTCCCTCCCCTCTGCCATCCACTTCCATCATAAATTTATTGCAAACTGAAGCATCTACCTAAGCCCGCCCCCTGCGCCCTGCCCCCCACGCTCTTTGCTCTCCTCGCTCAGCACAGGCACTGGGCCGTTCACCCTATTAAATTAGATGAAAAATTTCAACTAATAAATCAATATTTAAATAATTCATACAATTTATGGGCGCAAACGAGTGGTTGGGCAGGGGGCTTGCGGGGAGGGTTGGGTAGCAATGATGATCGATGGGCATTTTTTTTATTTATTTTCTTTTTGGGGGGGTTGTTAACATCTTGATGAGCTGATGAGATGCTGGCAACACACAGTTTCTTACTTTTTGAGGGAGTTTCCTGCATCGGGCACACATGTGATTACGATGTGCGGCAAATGGGAGATGATATTTGGGCAAATTGCCAAACGAATTTGGCTCAGCTCTACAGAGAGCGATTAGAACTCAATTATTAGCTGGCCATGGGATAATCAAATGCCGCGAGTATGACCAAAAGTTTTTGCGCGATTAACGGAAAACATTTCAGTATCTCAAAAAGCAATTAGCTATGGAAATTGGGTTTATATTTGTTCTTTGCGGCTTATTCACGCCTTATTCTAATCAGCTCGAAATTCTTACTAAATATTGCGAATTAAGATAATCAGTAGTGCGTTGCTTTAAATGTCACATTAATTATGTTCGGTTTTCTTTTTAGATCTAGTGGGCGTTGCTTTCGACTTTCTAGCCCAGGGAGCCGGTGCTCTTATGAAAATCTATCAGTTTACTCCCAGAGCTCATCTGGAAAACAACTCTTTTTTCGGCTAAAAATTGAAAAGTGAAAAAATTACAATAATAATAATTTTCGTAATCCTTTCGGGTTTTCAAAATTTGTGTTTTTTTTTTTTGGCAAGAAGCGAAATTGAAAAGCGTGAAATATGTTGTAAATTGTAACTCAAAGAAATTGAGTTTGCTTGATTGATATTTGTGTTTAATTGTGCATAAAGGGACGAAAAATTTTATAACTGGACGTACGAAAGTTCTGCAAGTGTTTATCTACACCTAAATGTAGATAAAAAAAAAAAACACACACACACACGATAAAAACAACATACCTCAAGCTGTGCGGAGCGTATCCCATTGAACGAATTAGCCTCAACAATGGAAAAACCAAGACTTACCGATAATCCAATACTTCACTGACTATAATGGAACACGCCAGGTAAGTGAGAACCGTCTTGAGGAGCTATATAGAATGGAAAAAATAGGGGTACAAACATAGAATGGTCGATCTAATCCTGACCTTGAATAGAATGAAAAATAATCGCCTCACAAATCTTATTTACCAATAAATAGATCCAACTGATTGCTGGACGTGTTCTGGTTGCCTGTTTGAATCTTATCAAAACAGATCCACCAACGAATACTGATGCTTATTATCGATGAGTTACTAGATGTAAGAATGTATGCGGAGACAGTTACCGCAGATAACAAATAATTTGTGAGTAGTCGACTGACAACTCCTTTTCAATTTAAACTAATTTGAATTATTGTATAGTTTCTGTATGCTAATGGAAGTTTTAATTTACCATATTTATCTCTCACAGATAGGAGTAGGAGTAGTAAGTTCCCTCTCGGGCAATATACATAATTGTTCCCTATTATACATATACATTATATTATTATTTAGCACGACGGTACCACGCCCTCAGCTTGAGGCCGCTTTGGGGGCGCGCAGTTTGCGTCGAACATGACCGTGCTGTATATGTACATATTCTGCAATAAATATGCATATAATATACAATATATTTAAGGAACAACATTATATATACATATATATACGTCATTTGTATGTATATGCGTATCTGAAATATCGAGTGGATCTGTTTGATAATGAAACTATTTGAAGGCAGCAATATGCCATATCGATGAACTGTTCATGACAGTTCATCATGTACGCTTATTTAGAATTCCGGTAAGTTCTGATTGTAATCGGATAACATATTCTCGCAATTCATGCCAAATTTTGTTTTTACCACAGTTCCGAGCGGTACCACGAAACCCTCTAACCCCCCCTCCCCCATCAAAATCTACCTTTGCTAGGGGCCACAGCAGACCCCCAACCCCGCCCCACACCCCTCCCCTGTACTGAAAATTCGCGCAGTTTGCGCTCGAACGGAATTGAAAACATTGACATAACTAAGTGCTACAAAAATAAATGCCGATTGAAAATGAACAAACTTTGTTTTATTAAATTTGATAATTTTTACATTAAAATTGCACATTATAATTTATAAATTTATGGCAGTCTCAAATATATTTATGGTACAATATGAAAGCTTTTCACCACTAAAAAGCTCAATGAACTTACCAATAAATTTCAGTTAGCATGGCCAACATGCTTGCAAACTTTCAAAAGCTGAGCTTCAATAATTGCAGCTTTCAACCAAAGAAGCTCTAAATGGTTTTGTACCCAAACCGCTAAAAACAATTTATATACATTGTCCGTCCGTTCATATTTGTAATTGAAGAGCAAATCAATCGGCTAGCTACGCCAAGTTCTGATAAAGAACTGTGTGGTCAGTATGCAGATTCTCGCAAACTGTTGCGTTCGTTAACCCGTTCTCTGGCAATCTTGGCCCAGTCGGCGGTTGGCCAATCGATTGCGGCGGCAACTGCAAAAATGCATTTGTCCAGCGACCGATTGCGTCAATGCGAACAGCGCATATCGACACGTTGTGGGGGTGTTCAAATCGGAGATAAGTCCAGCTGCTTGCCCGATGGCCCGGTATAAAACGCACCGAGGCTGCGGCAGAGATCAGTGACCAGCTAAGAATTGGAGATGATGCAACGGCTAGATCTCAAATGGACGGCGAGGATGGCCCAGCTTCTGCTCTGGAGTCAGCTGATAAGCCTGGCGGTTGTAGGATCGGCCAACGCCGCCTGGCAGTACAATGATGAGCAATATGCAAAGGCGCAGTATGACAAGTTGTTTGGCCATGGGCAGAATCATGGCCACGATCGGCTGGGACCCTTTCAGTATCAGTATGTGGACTATCAGCCAAAGTGTGGAACCGGCGGGCAGCCAGTGTGTGCCACCAATGGCACCAACTACTTTTACTTTGAGAACAACTGCAAGCTGGAGGCAGCCAACATGAAGCTGCTCTTCCAATACGGCACGGGTAAGTTGGCCGCACGCTTCCATGCGAGCCACTGCTAATGAGAGTCCTTGCCCCAATCAGAACTGGAGCCCACCGAGCTGGAGCGCTGTCTGCCGCAATGCGACAACATAATCTGCAATAAAACATACGCGCCCGTCTGTGCGGTCAGTGAGCCGGGAGCCAAGCAGGATCGGGGTGTGACCTTTGCAAACGAGTGTGAGGCGCATCGACGCGGTTGCCTGACCAAGCAAAGTGTGTATACTCGAACCGTAAAATGATGACGCCCGCAAACTTTGTTTAATTCCAATTCCAGCCATGCGCATCCTGAGGAAAGGACCCTGTCGAGATGTCAGGTTTAAGTCCAGGCCAGGCAGCAAGGGCAAAGGCAAGCGCAAGCATGGCAGACGCCGCAGCACCACATCCTCTACAACAACAACAACAACCACATCCACAACAACAGCAGCCACGCCCGCCAACAGGAGGCACATCTACGTGAGGCTGGGCAATAAGCGTAGCAGAACCACCACCACCACTACCAGCAGCAGCTCAACCACAACATTAGCGCCCATGCAGTTCCATCGTTACATGAACCTAGGCAATCCCCATGTTTCCGTCTCGCGTGCCGTCCATGCTTATAGCGTCTACAACATACCCGATGTGGGCCTCAACTATGACGCCATCACGGACTCTAGTCTGTCGCTCTATGTGCCGGGTGTGGGCACCATTACCGATACGCCGCCCAGCACCACCACCACCACCACTAGCACAACAACCACACCTAAGCCACAAGCAATTACGAGCACAACAGCCATACCGATCATTAGCGAGACGCCCAAAAGGAGCAGCTCACCGAGAGAGGAAATTAAATTCTTTTATGTGCCCTACGGCACCACTTCCACAACCACAGTTAGTTCAAGCAGCATCAGCGCTGCTCCAGAGGTCACCAGCACCACAGCCACCATCGCGGACACCATCGCTGCCGCCACCGTTGACCGCACCGCTAGCACCACCAAGGTGCTAAAACTCGGCACAGCCGTTGTGGCTCGCAATGCGACGGGCTTCAAAGTGAACACGGTGGCCAGCCCGAAACCTGAAATACCGAAACCACATCGAAAACCAATTGTTCTTAAGAATTAAGTAAAATTCGTATTGACACCAATCCAAAGTTTACCTTTTACAAATATGTCATGGGAGTATTTAGGGACCAATCGTATCAAGACAAATCCACATTTTTGGAAAGGGATCCAGGTCGAACCGAACCAGTTCAAGCTTTAAGCCAGTTGCCAAAAAGCAGCTGGCACCACATCCAAACCCAACAATATTGATGTGCATATGCGAAACAATTAACTGAATCATATATATTTATATATTTATTAATATGTAAATTAACAATTGTTTAAGTCTTATAATTGAATTGGGATTAGTTGATTTTTCTGGCATTGTTTTGTCTAATAATCTATCCATTTCCTTTGTAACTTACTCATACTTCCACTTTTTGTGCTGAGGATTTGGACAGGAATATGAACACGTATGTCGGACTTGGATTGGTATTTTGATTATTAATCTTAACTGTCTGAACGTCATCCTTTTCAGACACTTGTACAATCAACTGGGTTCCATTCGTACTCTCTCGGTTAGGTGACTCCGATAAAGTTGTATTTTTATCTGAAGCACGTTGAGTATTATCTATGGCTGGTACATTACTTGCTGATGTCGAATATGTTGGAACTGTCGTTAAATCTGAACTCGATTGTGCTGTGGAATTCGAGCTCGAACTGACAAGAGCTTCAGTTGTGGATTCAATTGCTTCCGTTGTTTCTGTAGGTGTCGTATCCGAAAGAGTCGTATTATTAACTGGATCAACTTGGGTCTGATTAACAGCTGCTGCTCTACTTAAGCTTTGAGCTCTCACTTGTGGCTCACTACTTGGCGATGTCGAAGCTGGTGTCGAGACGGAGGTCGAACTCACAGGAGGTTCGGAGGAAGATTCCTGAGGATAAGCAGTCGATTCCGATGAATATTTCGGTAATGAATTTGAGGTGGGTAAGTACAAGCTTTCAACTTGGGACTGTCGAGCCGTTCCATATGATGGAACTGTTGTTGGGTATAATGACTCAGCCGCAGTGGAATTACTGGCAGAACTCACAGGAGCTTCTGATGTGGAATTTGGACTTATGGCTGTGGTATTATCAACTGGATCAGCTTGGGTCTGATTAACAGCTGCTGCTCTACTTAAGCTTTGAGCTCTCACTTGTGGCTCACTACTTGGCGATGTCGAACCTGGTGTCGAGACGGAGGTCGAACTCACAGGAGGTTCGGAGGAAGATTCCTGAGGATAAGCAGTCGATTCCGATGAATATTTCGGTAATGAATTTGAGGTGGGTAAGTACAAGCTTTCAACTTGGGACTGTCGAGCCGTTCCATATGATGGAACTGTTGTTGGGTATAATGACTCAGCCGCAGTGGAATTACTGGCAGAACTCACAGTAGCTTCTGATGTGGAATTAGGACTTATGGCTGTAGTCGCTGTGGTATTATTAACTGGATCAGCTTGGGTTTGATTAACAGCTGCTGCTCTACTTAAGCTTTGAGCTCTCACTTGTGGCTCACTACTTGGCGATGTCGAAGCTGGTGTCGAGACGGAGGTCGAACTCACAGGAGGTTCGGAGGAAGATTCCTGAGGATAAGCAGTCGATTCCGATGAATATTTCGGTAATGAATTTGAGGTGGGTAAGTACAAGCTTTCAACTTGGGACTGTCGAGCCGTTCCATATGATGGAACTGTTGTTGGGTATAATGACTCAGCCGCAGTGGAATTACTGGCAGAACTCACAGTAGCTTCTGATGTGGAATTAGGACTTATGGCTGTAGTCTCTGATGTATCGCTTAATGGGCTTTCCGTCGTAGTGGTGTTATTAACTAGAGTACTTTGTGTTTGATTTACAGCTGATGCTCTACTTAAGCTTTGAGCTCTCACTTGTGGCTCACTACTTGGCGATGTCGAAGCTGGTGTCGAGACGGAGGTCGAACTCACAGGAGGTTCGGAGGAAGATTCCTGAGGATAAGCAGTCGATTCCGATGAATATTTCGGTAATGAATTTGAGGTGGGTAAGTACAAGCTTTCAACTTGGGACTGTCGAGTCGTTCCATATGATTGAACTGTTGTTGCGTATAATGACTCAGCCGCAGTGGAATTACTGGCAGAACTCACAGTAGCTTCTGATGTGGAATTTGGACTTATGGCTGTAGTCGCTGTGGTATTATCAACTGGATCAGCTTGGGTCTGATTAACAGCTGCTGCTCTACTTAAGCTTTGAGCTCTCACTTGTGGCTCACTACTTGGCGATGTCGAAGCTGGTGTCGAGACGGAGGTCGAACTCACAGGAGGTTCGGAGGAAGATTCCTGAGGATAAGCAGTCGATTCCGATGAATATTTCGGTAATGAATTTGAGGTGGGTAAGTACAAGCTTTCAACTTGGGACTGTCGAGCCGTTCCATATGATGGAACTGTTGTTGGGTATAATGACTCAGCCGCAGTGGAATTACTGGCAGAACTCACAGGAGCTTCTGATGTGGAATTAGGACTTATGGCTGTAGTCTCTGATGTATCGCTTAATGGGCTTTCCGTCGTAGTGGTGTTATTAACTAGAGTACTTTGTGTTTGATTTACAGCTGATGCTCTACTTAAGCTTTGAGCTCTAAATCGTGGTGCGTTGCCCAATGTTGATGCTTCAGTCGAAGTTTCTGTCGCGACCGAGCTCAGCTGTGAGGTCGAGTCCGTGGAACCTACCGAAGCTTCTGTTGTGGAATCAGAAGCTATTGTAGTTTCCAGGGGCAGTTGAGTTGTATTATTCGCAGCGGTATATGAGGAAGCAGCCGCAGTAGGCGTATAGCTATCTACTTTGGGCTCCACAGCCTTCCTAGCTGATGCTGTGTCAGACGTAACAGGGCTTGAGTACGAAGCTGTTGATGTATAAGAGCTGTATATATCTTTGGGTGGGGCACTCGAGGTAGACTCCGAGCCAGAACTGGCAAAAGCTTCTGTTGTGGAATCAAAATTTGAATTTACAGGTGTCGTTGCCGCTGTAGCATTCAAAGAGACTTCCGCAGGAGTTGTGTTGCTTTCCGAAGTGTTTTCTACCCGATTTGCTATTGCCGCCTTACTTTGAACTTTTCTAGATTCATTGCTTGGTGAAGTTGAATCATTTGAAACAGGTGTAGAATACGAAGTAGAACTGACGGTAGCTTCTGTTACGTAAATGGGCTTTGAAGGTACAGCAGTTGTGTTCACAGCGGTAGCCAATGTATCTTGGGAAGCAGCATCTGATTCAGATTTTGTATCTGTGATTAAGCTTTGTGCAACAAACTGTGGCGCATTAGCCGCTACAGTTGAATTGGTTGGAGCTGCTGTCGAAACTGTTGATGATTCAGTCGATGTTGGTGCTTCAGTATAAGGAGAACTTGTAGATCTATCGGGAACTATGTTGGTTGTTGTTGGGCCAAACGCATCCGTTGACTCAGTTGGCAAAGCGTCCCTTGAGATTGATAGATGATATGGCTGCAGCTGCGATGCTGCATATGGGTGTGGTGGGGATTGGAAGGCTCTGGGATATGCCATTGGGGGCCCATAGGCTGGGGCTTGGTAGGCAGGAGCTCCATAGGCTGGAGGGCCATAAGCGGGTGGTCTATACGCATGTTGTCCATAAGGATGGGGCCCATAAACTGGATATGATTCACGAGAAATGAATGGTCCTGCATACGCCGAGTATTGGGATTCTGTATCTAAGCAAGCCTCATTGCGAAGGTATTTCCAAGCTGAAAGAATCGAAAACAGGATAGAAAGTATGAGATAAAGAAAGTAAAGAGAATAAGATGGAAAGAAAGTATGCAGTACTTACGTTCTCCTGTATGGCAGATGAACTGCAACATTTCACAGTAATTTTGGAAGGTTTTCTGCGTACTGCCCAGCGCGGCACAGACGGGACTACACGTGAGTGGACATTTGACTGGGCACTCGCAAGGTCCCTCGTAGAGTATGTGCCAATCTGTCAATGGGGAGTTTTAAGTACTATAGATTATATTATTATCATCCACATACATTGTCCGGTCAGGCAGCTATAGCGCTGAACCTCGCAGGCGTTATCAAAGGTCGCAGCCTGGTGTGAGCCCTGGGTCTTGGCACAGACTTCGTCTTTGACTGCCGGACAATTGATATAGTCGCACGTTGGGGCATAATATTTGGGTTCGCCATAACCCCAGCTCCAGGCGCCCGTAAACAAACTGCAGAGGAACAAATGGAACGCGAGCATTTTGTGTAGAATCCTAAGCTCGACTATGGTCTAGCCTCGCACAGGCTGTGCTTTTTATACGATGACCTCCAATGGGCTTGTGGCATATGCCCTCATATCATTGCAATGTCTACGTGTCCAGAGCTCCATTTCGGTAATTAATTATATCAACGCTTCTAGGTTAAAGCTAGACGGTTAGCACAAAGTTTTTTGTGTTTTTTTAGTATGGTTTTTTTTTGTTCAGCTTATGAAAGTTTTTGAGCTACACTCATATCTTCGTTATTCGTGTTATACGTAAACTTTGCGCCATGGGAAATTTTGTGAATTAAAATTCTTACTTTCAAAACGTTACGAGTTATGAAAATATGACAATGATACTGATTAATCGACCTGCCACGCAGCGTATAACGATATTATAGACAATTGTCAAGGTCACCAGTCAGCTGGAAATAATTTGCAAAAAAAAATACTTATATCTATATGAAGGTATACAATAGCATTTCTTGGGTATATTACTCAATGTATAGGAAAATGATTTTATGATGAGCCAAGCAAATTGTTTCAGACCCACCTTAGCCCCGAAACTACGCAATAAGCGGGCGAGTCATCAATTATTGAATTACTATGAGTATTACTAAAGCTGAAAGGTAAACATTTTGGAATACTTTTGGTATTAAATGTCACGTTGCCGCACAGCAATCGCTTGGGTATCAAAATTTTATTTGCTTATATGTTGAATAGCTCTAAAGATATGCAAGGTATACGAATATTAAAAAAAAGTCTTATTGATTATTTTACAATATAGTAGAGAACCATTGAGATAGGTCGTTAAGTAAAATTAAGGCCGATGATAGTATTGTGCCCAGCTATGGGGCCTAGCCGCCGCAGCGGAGCCGCTGGCATAGCCGGGTCCATAACCAGATCCGTGGCCAGGTCCATAGCCGGATCCATAACCACTGCCATAGGCAAAACCATATAAGTAACCATAAGGCTTATAGTTAACTGATTTTTGTGTGCTGCTATTGGGTGTTGGGCTTGTCGAGGTGCCGTCATTCGATTCAGAGCGGGCTGAGTTATTGAAGAGGCATCCAGTAAACTTGAGCGTTTCCGATATGCCCTTAACTTTCAGCTCCAAATTGGTCTCGTCGGCGCACGTCTTATGCCCAGTTATTGGATGGGTTATCTGCGAGGCCAGTGCGAGTCTAAAGACTCTGCTGTCGGGCACTCTAAAGACCAGAGAGACCAGAGTGCTCTGTTCGGGGGAAAAAAAAATAGAAAATAGATAGTCGAGTATAGTATGCTATAGGTTTTATAACGCGTGCAAATTGTTGTAATATTACACTCTGAAAATACTCACGGCATTCATGTCGCTGCTGGCGGCTGTGGATGCTATTATGGATTCTGTTGTGGGAGTCTTAGCTCTACTCGGCTCTGCTGTGAAGCTTGTTGTCAATTGTGTTGTTGCTTCTGTAGACGCTGAAGTGGATGCCGCTGTGGATGCCGCAGTGGATGCCGCAGTGGATGCTGTTGTGGATGCGGCTGAGGATGCTGATGTACTCAACTGTGCTGCGTTCACTCTTAAGGCAAGCATGGATTGAGGTGTTACAATAGAAACAGTTGATGCGGGTGCCGCTGTGGCTGCTAATGTGGATGCTGTTGTCAAATTTGCTGTGGATTCTGTTGTGGTTGCTAATGAAGGGGAAATTGCTAAAGTGGTTGCTAAAGTCGATGCTGGTGCAGATGTTGTTGTGGATCCAGTTGTGGATGCAGTTGGGGATGCTGTTCTGAATGCTGTTGTAGATGCTGTTGTGGATGATGTGATGGAAACGGGCGTGCTCGACTCAGCGGTGGAGTTCGTTGTTGAAACAGGCGTTGAGTCTTGTGCTCTTACTGTAGCACTTGTTGTTGATGTTGTAGAGGATTCCACAGTGGATCCTATTATAAATGCTGCGGATGCTGTTGGGGCTATGGGTGCACTCGGCTGTGCTGTAGAGTTATTTGTTGAGCCTGCCGAGAACTGTGTTGTTTCTATTTTATCAGCTGTTGACGCTCTTGTTGAAGCTGTTGTGGATACTGTTGTGGATGCTGTGGTAGTTGGCTGTGGTGTGGTTGTCGTTGTTGCAGATGAAGTGGACTCCGTTGTTATTGAGATAGAGTTCGCTGTAGATGATATGATTGCTTGGGTATTTGCTACTGTTGTTGTGTTAGATGCTAATGTGGATGAAATTGTGGATAGTATTGTGGTTGCTTTAGTGGTGGGCTGTGTCGTGGAGTTGACTGTGGGCAGCTGTGTAAATAGTGTAGATTCTTCTGTTGTTGTGGATGGTAATGTGAATTGTGTTGTAGGCGCACTTGTGCTTGGCTGTGCTATTAAATTTCTTGATGCAGGTTGTGTATTTGTTGTGGACTGTGTTATGCCTGAGGAATTGAACATTCCTGTTGAATTGGTTGATAATGGTTGTATTGATTCTTCCCTAATTGCTGTACTCAATACCCCTACTAAAGCAGACTCTTGTGTGGATGGTGTTGTAACTGTTGAACTTGAAAGTGAAATAAATGGTGTGGTTGCTGTTGTGCTTGAGCCTGTTGTTGAATTCTCAGTTGGGATCTGTGTAGACTGTGTTGAAACTGTTGTGCTCGTTATTGCTATGGCACTCGTTGTGGATGGTATATTAGATTCTGTTGTAACTGCCGTGCTTGAGCCTAATGTGAATGTCGGTGTAGTTGATACTGGGAATTGAGTGTTAACTGCTGCAGTTCCTGTCGTGGTTGCTGTTGTTGCAACTGATGTCGTTGGCACCGTGGATTCCGCGGTGGCAGTAGCTGTTGAACTGGATGTGGTTGCTATTGTTGTGGATTCTGATGCTGTGGATATTGTAGGTGCAGGTCGCTCAGTAAAGTATTCCTGCATTCCCCTGTAACGTTCCCACGTGCTAGTAAAGTCAGGTCTTCCCCCAAACCCGTTCGTCGGGGAATATATGTCCTGTGCTTGTGACTTGTAGAAGCGATAAGGATTATATGACTCTGAAGGGTATGGTGCCTGTGCAGCAGCAAGCTCGTATGTATAGGGCGAATCATAAGCGGCTGCATAGGCGTACGAGGAGGAGGAGGAGGAGAGTAGCGGACGAGCTCTGTAGGGTGTGCTGTAGTCGAACCAAGTTGGCTTTGGCAAGCAGTGCTGCATGTCAGCTTCCACAAATTCTGAAATGATGCAGGAAATGTGTAGGGGTGAAGAGCATACTGGTTAAATAGCCCCTAACTTACCTCTTTGTCCAGCGAAGAGCAGTTGTAAATTGAAGGTGTTTAGGCAGCAAATGTTCTCGAATGAGCGATAGCAATAGCCATTGGTGGCGCACACTGGTTGACCGCAGGTGGTGTAGTCGCCTCTGCCACGTCCTTGCGGCTCTGGATGCTGCAGGTAGCGCTGTGCCGTGACTAGGCCGAGCAGACTTAATATTAATGCAATTGTACTGAGTTGTGCCCACATGTCGAAGGTGTAGTTGCCACTGATATGCCTAACTGGCCCTGCACTCGCATTTTTATACCTACCAACTGTGAGACGCACAACTGCTGCTGCTCAGCTTCAAATCTCTTACAGCTGCAGAAGCAGACACCGTCGGCGGCGGCAGCGACAGCGGCGTCTTATCATATTGACGCTTACGTGCCTGACCTGCGCTTCGAGCTGTAAAGGTTGGCGCCAGCGTCGCCGCTGATTGAACGCAGCCTAGCATATACATTGGATAGCAGCTAGTTCTTTGTACCTAGTACCACTTACTATGTTAGTTAGGTACTCTGACTTAATTAATTTAATGCAGCTTTTATGCATTGCATTTATTCAATTTACGTGGGCGTGCACTGCTTTCGACTGCTTTATACCATGCACTTCTTGAAAGGCTGCCTGCTTTGTGCTTTCGCTGTGCGTCAAGCAGTTCCCCAAGCAGTGCACAGCATCTGACATCTTTTTCAATTTCCACGAGTGCTGCTTAAAACATTTTTCAAAATATTTATCATATACTTTGCAAGCTTATACCCTGTATGTATTAGTGAGCATAATATGTAGGCCAACTGACTTATCTGACCGTACTAACCAATTTATATTCCACTCTTTTTAGATTAGAGACTTTCTTGTATCTGTTCCGCTAAACAACTTTTAATATGACTTTTCGGCCACGCCCAACAGAGATAGCATAAAGAAATTTATATGCCACAGTGTTAATGCAAATTTAGCAGATTACTTTCTGATGGTCCTGGTTGAACAAGTATTTCAGTGTACTCATATGCCACATGCTCTACTTAATATTAAATTATAATTTAATTATAAGTATGATTAAATTGCGCAATTGGACATTCATTTTGGGTGTTGCCCCTTCTTGCCTTATGGTGCATAAAAACTAAAACATCCTTTTTAATATGTGCGTACTTTTCGGGCTTCCGTCTATTTAATTGCCTTGAACTCGTTATCTGAGACATTTTGTGTTTAATTAACATCAATAAACAACAATTAAGTTCAGCTATCATTTTTACAAATTTTGTACCCTACAATTTGTGTGTCAAAAGTTCAAACAAAGATCATATTACAATATACAGGAGCAAGCAACGCACACTGGTCTTTCACTTGTGTATTATCGCTCAAATGACCTTTCAAGATGTCACTTTAAATAAATAAAACGTGAGTTGGGTGAAAAAGTGATTGATTGTAGTTCAAGTCGTTTATGAGCTCATAATTGTTATACATACATTAGAAGAGTTCAGGCCTTGAGTGAATATTACCTGAAACAGTTTTGGACTGGTCAGACGACTCTCTTCAGTGGATGTATTGTAATTGGTATTAAGGCAAAAGTACTTTAGTTGAGAAAAATACACAATATTGTAGGCGATACAACATTACCACATTGAACCACATTATGGGTGGTAAAAACATAGATGGTATGACACTCACATAGATAGATATTTTTTTTTTGTGATAAATACATCTTCATTAAGAACATATAGGCAGACATTACTAGCACACCGATTATCGAAAGTAATATATGCGAGTCGCTGCGAGTCACTTTTTATATTGATCCGTTTGAAGCAATCATAAACTCATATAAGGTTTAATATTGATTCATTCTCAAGCCTTTAAATAAAAATTCTTAACATGTCTTTCGAACTGTGTGCCACTGTGCGTATAACTTAATTGCTACTGCATCAATTAGAACAGCCCTCGTATAACAGTTAGCACTGCTTGCTGGCTAACTTGTAGGATGAACCATAGGAGCCAGGAGCAATACTTCGAGTTGGCGCTCAGCTTTGCGGCGGCTTCACTTACCAACTCGAAGCCATTGCGAGCGGTCGTCGCAGCTGCGGCAGCTGGCATTTTCTTTTCATATAGTTTTTTTTTTTTGGCGCGATTTCAAGTGAAAATCAAACAAAAAGTAAATTTAATATAATTGAATATCGTGTGAGCCATTGTATATATTAATATATTTTATGATATAGCGCAGGAATTCAAATTTTCATTTAACATAAACAGACAAACGTCTTTGCCGCACATGGCCCTACTGCGAGCAGGTAAGTGTCCGGATTGGATTTGTGTAGCTAATACGGAAGTGTTTGTTGCCAAAAATAGACCGCATTTAAATCCTATTAAATTTCGGATGCCATTGATTGGTCACGCGCTAATCCCAAAAATAACTACGCGAATTCTCATCAAGCTAACAGATCCGAATTACAGAGCATTTCCCCTCTCGTATTTACGTATGCTTGTAACTCGATACGCAGAATAGATTGCATGCCACGTTTAAGTGCAATATCCTCTCAAGTGCTGGCGACGAAGCCCCAAAACGATTGAAATTTCATGTCAATGCATTTATGATTTATTCACGCAACGCCTTTTATAGCTCCGCTCGTATATTCCTGCCTGGCTGTGGGTGTATATGGGTGTTAAGCAAATTATATATACAAAATAAAAAAAAAGATGAAATCAGAAATAATATTAACTCCCCTGGTCTCCACTCCCCTCTCTGCCACTTCTTTGTACAAGGCTTGTATATGAACGCTGAAAATCTATCGGACGTTGCGTATACGCCGCATTGACCCCTCCTGATAGCCAAACATGTTTATTTTGTGTGCGACCTTGCTGCGATTTTCTGATTCGATTAGCTGCCTAACCGCTGCATAGCCGTCGCTTCAAAACACCACCCTCCGCCCTTGCATCGCATCATTATGCCGCAGCGCTGTGGCACAACATCTGGAGGCAGTCACGTGTAGGCAAATTTCAATGGCCGTCAGCGACGTTTGTTAATTGTATAACTTTGCGTTGTATTTAGTGGTTCCTTTGCCCCTTTTTCTGCACCTGCTCCTACCCCTATTCCAGGAACGTCGCACCTCCTTTGAGCTGCAGGTAAATTCAATTGGCTTTTGTTCTGTGCCTTTGTCCACATTTGTTTATCGCCATTTCTCTTCATTCATTGAGCGCTTTTTGTGACACTTTTCTCAGTGCTTGTATTTGTTGTTGCATTGAAGAAAAACCATTTTCGAATTCTTATGCATTGCGCGTTATAAATGCTTTTTTTCTCTTCAAATACACCTGAGTTGAGTATTCTGCACCGGCCCTGATGTGAATGCACCCTCAACGGAGGCAAAACTCGGGTTGATATAGAAGTCTTTGGAAATCCAAAAAAAATATACATATGTATAAAGCAAAGCCTATGCGTTTGGCAATTCCACGTCGCGAAGCATAAAGGAAACTCGTTTCATATTATTAGCTACTTAAAATGTGTGCAAATGGTCAAGAATTGAATTTTCTTGGCATGCTTTTTAAATTTAATTAAATGCATCATTTATCAAATTTATATTGCAATATTTTATCACTAAAATTATTATTTATCTTTTATTATTTTTTATCATTTATCATTATTTATTATTTATATTTTTTTTGTTTAAAATATTATTAATATTTATACTATAATATCCATATGCCTAGGCTAATGAGCAGGATTAATAACAAGTTTACAGGGTATTCAATGAACAGCAACCGAAAGCGAGCTGTTTTCTTGTGTTCACTTGTTATTTACTTTTGTGAACTTGCCACGCGCCATAGTGGAGGCAGCGCTGCTCATTAGAATTCCATGTAGACAATACCCATCACAGTCGATCACACACACACACACACACACACACACACACAGACACACACACAGACACACACACACACACACCACGCACAACAGTGAAAACATTTGCATGCCTGACGACAAAACAAATGACAGTTATATGTGAATATTGGTCAAGCCAGAAATTGTGGCTATTAGCTGGTTGAAAAGGACAGCAAAAGTATTTTCTGCAAAGCCAAACGAGGTAATGTACATTAAAGTTAGGTTAAGTTGTATTATGTTAGGTTAGGTTAGTTAAAGTAGGATTAGGTTAGCTAAAGTAAGGTTAGGTTAGCTCATGTTCATATCAAGCCATGTTAAACGCACAGATAATCAATCGAATTGCATTTTCTATATGTGTTGAAAGAGATCAGGCCATTAAGTCGACCCCGAAACGCGTCACTAATGAGGCAAAAGGCCGTTTGGCCTCTGGCCAGGCAAATTCTAAGGAGTGCAGAACCTGTTTGTCAGACCTGTCTTCTATGTCAATTTTGGCTCAAGTGCTGTCGCTTCAACTGTGGCGGGGCTTGTTTTTTCTTTTTCTTTTTAATAGCATAATTTGGGGCGTGCTGGTTTTGGGGGCTGATGAATTTAGCAGCGACTCATCGCATTGCGATGTCTGCAACGACGGCTCACAGTTTTATTATAGCCCACTTTTGGTTGCTTATTAAATTTTTATGCCTGCACAAACAGCAGCAGGAATATTGCAAGAAATGGACACTGGATTGAATTTCATTGCCGTGAACGTCGCCGACGTCGACTCTGGCTCTCAGTGCTGCCACACACAACACACACACTCACTCGCACACGCACCCACATTAAGTATACAAATTTGGTAATTGTGAGCTTCATGTATATTTAATTTGTTATTTTTTTCGGCCCCCCATCCCGACTGTCTTACCTCAGCAGCTGTCAACGTGGCCCATTTCTTTGGCCCCATTTGCTTTCGATTCAGTTTAAATCATATTCAACTTTAAATGTTTTTCTCTGCCACGCCCACTACGCCACAACTATGTACAAACTAAAGCGCAGGGCACAACCTTTAAGTAAAATTTACTTAACCTGTGTATACTATACGACAAAACTACTATGTAGCTATTAGAAACTTCGAGTTATGGTTAGAAAACGATCTCAAAATGCCAATTTACCAGCTTTTGTAGCTGCCGAGATCGACAGGCTTATATAAGCATTACATGAGCACAAACACATGGTATTCCATTTTCAATTGATGCCATGTCTTGTTGTATAAGAGATGCAAATGGAGCTAAGCGTGTTCTTTTTTCCAAATAAAACATAACATACAAAAATGTGTACACTGAGCTATGCTTTGTGCCATCGAATTGTTTAAACAACAGCATTTAGGAATTTTATAGGCAGCCTCCTCTTACATGGTTGGCCCCAGAGGAGCAGCCACAAAGACGGGACTACAAAACAAGAATTTTTTTTGAGATTATTCCAGCCCCACAATATTTCCAACTTACCTATCCGGCTATACACAAATATACCCTCTTTTGTGTCGAGTGTATGTAAGTAAGTATGTGCTTAGCATTTGTGGATCTGTTAAATGTGTTGACGGACGGATAAACTTCTGGTTGGCTAATTGACTGAAAGCAGAGATCGATTAAAATAGAGTGTTTTAATAATAATAATAAACTTTTTCGATCTCGGGGAATAGCTCCGCGCGGAGATAAGATGTTCCGCGCGGAGATAAGACCTTCCAAATCATCACGATTTTTTTCAAAATCGAGGTCGGTGCGAAAATCTAAACTTTTTCGATGATTTATTTTTAATATCTCGGGTAATAGCTCCGCGCGGAGATATGACGTTCCAAAACGACATAGCTCCCTGATCACCAAATCATCACGGTGCAAAAATCGAAACTTTTTCGATGATTTTTTGTTTAATATCTCGGGTAAATAATGTCTGACTTTAAAATGTTATACCTTTTTGAATGCGTACGGATCCCAACCATCAATTGGCATTCAAACAAATTGATTCTTGACTCGTAAGGATCAGTTCTGTCGATTGGCATCAAAAAAAAGGAAATCCAAAATTTTGACCCAAATGTCCAAATGTATGTAACAGGCAGAAGGAAGCATCTCCGACCCCATAAAGTATATTTATACTGGATCAGCATCAATAGTCGAGTCGATTTCCGTCTGTCTGTCTGTCCGTCCGTCCGTCCGTCCGTCCGTATGTATGAACGCACGGATCTCAGAACATATGAGAGCTATAGACTTGAAATTTTAGATGAAGTTGCTCCTAGTGCCTGCGCAGATCGAGTTTGTTTCCGATAATCGGTAGACTTACCCGCTATTGACTTTTACGCTATATTGACTTAGTTGCTGTAGACTTACTCGTTGGCTTATATCGCAATTTATTTTGTACTCGCTATTTGAATTTACTCGCTTTGATCATAACTCGCTATCGACTTCTACTCGCACTTGAGTTTACTCGCTTTGACCCTTGACTCGCTCCTTCTATTCGCGCTTGAATTCTATTCGCCCTCAATAAAATAAATAAATAAAATTTTTGTTTACAATTAAACACGAAATATTTGTAAATATTTATGATGGTTTGATTTGGTTCAAGGATGCGCAATAGATCAAAATGATGTTTAGCTGCGTTCGATCGAGTTTCGCGCAAATTAGTTCCGTTGGGCTCTGTGTTCTACTGCAGTAGCAGCATCAGCAGACATGTTGCATGCTTATCGCAGGTACGTTGCAATGAGCTTTTTGCCAAGGAGCTTTGAGCATAGAACTTGGTGCATGTTTGAGCCGCGATTGCAATACGAATGGGTCTCGACCTTTGGGTCTCGCCCTTCGCCGTTTGACCGTTGCCACTTACCACTTTCACCGTCAGGTGCATAGCTAAGTGCGGTTACAGTTACAGTAGCAGTAGCAGTAGCAGTCGCAGTCGCAGTCGCAGTCGCAGTCGCAGTCGCTGGTCACTTAAAACGCGGTTCGAAGTTGTAAGCAACTTCCGGACGACTGAAGGGACTTTGCCAACCACCGATGCGTCATTCGTCGACGGCAGCAGCGACGGCGACGGCAGCAGCGACGGCGACGGCGACGGCGACCAAAACGACATAATATCTCGGGTAATAGCTCCGCGCGGAGATATGACGTTCCAAAACGACATAATATCTCGGGTAATAGCTCCGCGCGGAGATATGACGTTCCAAAACGACATAATATCTCGGGTAATAGCTCTGCTTGGAGATATGACGTTCCAAAACGACATAACTCCGCGCGCAGATATGACGTTCCAAAACGACATAATATCTCAGGTAATAGCTCCGCTTGGAGATATGACGTTCCAAAACGACGTAACTCCGCGCGGAGATATGACGTTCCAAAACGACATAAAATCTCGGGTAATAGCTCCGCGCGGAGATATGACGTTCCAAAACGACAT